ATATAAATAAAGATAATAATAAAACATATGCTCTTAGCGCAATTGTAGCTACATGAAATGGAAATCAAAAATAATAATAATAATAATAATAAAAAGCAATAGACAAATTGCCAACAAGCAATTTAAAAATAAACAATTAAACATTTCATATATTATATAAATGTGTGTACATTATACATCTAAATGTCAAACAAATTCAACTTCCAATTGAAAATAATTATAATAATAAAAAATGAACTAAATTTGTTTATATAAATATAAATTGTTTGAACTAAATTAGGTATTTGCAAAACTTTCTTTGCGCTGCGTGATGTGAATTTTAGTTTATTGTTAAATTGTATTATTTAAACAAATAATTTATACAATTTTTAACATATATACATATGTAGTATATTGATGTATGTATGTATACGAAATTCCAGTTAAAGAAGCAAACAACGCGCAATTTAGCAATGAGACTTTCTTTGATTAATTTAGTCCAAGGCAAAATTTTGTAAAATAAACAATTGAAAAAACGAAAACAAAAAAGAAAGAAAAAAAAAACTGAAATGTCAAAATAAAAAATATTTGTGTTTTTCTTTTATATTTAGGTGTTTACAGTACAACTCCAAACTCCATTTATTATTCTAGATTTATAATATGTTTTACATCTAATTAGTCTACCAATAGACGCTTAGCCTTCTCTGCCTGCTCCTCCTGGCGTTTAATCCTCTTGTCCACCACATGACGCAGACGACGATCGGGCTTGACCAGCTCGCTCTCATCCATGGGCTCAATAACTTGACCCTTGCGCGTAATGACCGCTGGACGTGTGAGCATACGGAAAGCTGTTTCAGGCACAAACTCGCGTCCAATAGGCGTACGAATGCTGGCTTCATAATCGGCCAGAGATTTGAATGGAAATGGTATGCTTGAGACGCGATGGGCGCGCGCTTGTTTGTTGCTCGCCTCATTTATATAGACATTGTCCTTGTTGTCATCGCGACGCTTCTCGGGCTCTGCCAACTTGAGAAGCAGTCGCTTGTTGCGTCTTTCCAATACCTTTTCGGATATGCCATTGCCTCCCCAACAGCCCCAGCCTGGCATTGCCAACTGAAGTTCATTGTTCTTTACTTCCGAGTCCTCTTTCTTATCCTTGTTAAAATCAGCTACAATATCATCATCCTCAAAGGCCTCACTAATTAGCATTTGGCGCTCGGCCAGAGGATCGGCTTCATCGAATTCGGCTGCATCGTCGTCAGCCAAAGCATCGTTTACAACATCAGTGAGGCGCATTTTTTGTTTCCATGTTATGGAGATCACCTTGTCGGGATCAATATCTGCCACTTCAGCTGTTGAATTCTTTTCTTCTTTCGATTTTGGYAAATCGTTAACAGCTTCTATAGCTTTTACGGCTTGTTTAGGTTCCACTTCATCTTGATTGAGTGGCTCATCGATTTCCACACGTTGCTTAGTCTTCTTGAATGTTAAATCCTTTAAGTTTTTCAGTGCATCATGTTTCATCTTCGGCTTCTTCGATTTTTTTGACAGCCTTTTCAGCAATGCTGCTTGCCTTTTTAGATTATTTAACTTATGGATTAAGTGATTGTTTAAATTATCCTTTTGAGCATGGAATATTTCATCCAATGTTTTAGTTTTAGCTGGAGCTTCATTAGCTTCCTCAACTTCCTCAACTTCCTCAACTTGCCAACCATTTTCCATAAAAATCTTGGGTTTCTTCTTTTTTGGTGACTCTTTTATGGGTTGCGTAGTCTGCTGCCGCTTCTCACGTTTGACCTGTTCCACTTCAGCATTATGATCAGTTAGCAGTTTTTCATTTTGATTACGCTCTGTCCAATACTTTCGCCAGCTGACCTCTCCTTCTTCAGCTTTGGGTTCATCATTTTCAGTTTGTTTCAATGTCATCCACGGATTGAACGGATCGACGATCGACTCGTCGACATTTGTTTCTATTTTGGCTGTGGTCTGCTCTTCATGCTCGCTATCCGTATCCACTTTCTTTTCCGTCAACTGGCGACTCACAGCCAATTGTTCGGCAAGATCTTTGCGCACCTCTTTATCGTATTTGGCGCGCATCTGTAGATTCTTGGCCCAAGTGCCCGTGTTTTTGTGCCGCAAACTTGCGCGTTCTAGCAACCGATTCTTCTCCAAAGCATTTAGTTTTTCCAGGGCAGCCTCCGGATTGGTCTTCTTCAGTATTTCAAATTGCTTTACTTGCTCTAATATCTTTTGGCGCTTCAGCAGCTTATGATATTTCTTGGATTTTATCTTATTTTGCATGCGAGCCTTAGCCGACTTCTGAGACTCGCGCATTCTTAAATAGGCCAGCTCACGACGTCGTGCGTGGAGCTCATCACGAGTTAGCTTTTGGGCCAACAACCTCTCTTCCTCTTGTGCCAATTCCTGCTCATCAGTGTTGTCCCCAACCTGTGCCTTGCGTAAGTCATTCAGCTTCTTAATGCTCGCTTGAAGTTCTTTGCCTAGCTCGGATTTAATGCTCGTCTTAATGGCGTTTGAATGGGCCGCTGTATTTACGTAAATCGTTTCCGATGGTATGGGAAATATCTGCAACAAATCGTCTGCCTTTAGTTTTGTACCATATCTATATCATCTCATCTCACCTGAGTTTCGGCAGAGCGCTGTTTAGCCACGACAGCATCCCAGCGTGCAAGTTTCTTCTTAACACCTTCGTAGCCAATTGTTCGCTTGATGCGATCAGCAACCGGCTTCTCCAGTGGCTTCTGAAGGACCTTTTTAGTGCTGTGCACATTTTTCAGCTTCTTGCCTGTTTCAATGTGCTTGGAAGTGCGCAAGATTTGAACCAAATCATTCACACCCACGGCCTTAGCTGCGTGTTCTGTTGCATTGGCACTCTTGAACAACTGAAACTCATTCTGTTCTGGCTGGCGCTCGTCGCGTGTAGATTTGCCGATATGCTGCACATTGCCTAGGCTACTAACGGCCTGCAGAAGCTTTTTATGTGCAATTGGATCATACTGTTCTTCATCGTCACTCATATTGGATAAGGAAGGCAAAAATTATTATTATTATTATTTAAAAATTAAATTTAAACCGAGCTGTTTTACGAAACACGCGGTGACAGAATCAGCTGTTTGTCATCAAGCAAACGTATTCACAATGGAAAACTATCGATATTGTTCTATTCAAAAGTATGCTAGTTGAGTAAACTGTTAAATTGAGATTGACATATTTCGCACAGTTATTTTGATAATATAAATACAATTGCCTTGATTGATAACCATCCTGTAGCATTAAGATTATTTGGAATATTCCATTTTTAGTCTCTCATATCAGAATATTTTACATATTAATWACGATACCATCACTACCTCGATATCTCCATGTATTGTGTATCAAAGTTAAATGRCAAGAAATCGATTAGCGGCRCGATAACACACAGACGCGAAATAGTTAAACAAATACGGGCGCATCGTTCCATGGCCGATACAAAATCCGGCCGTCATGCGAGCACCAGCGCTGCAACTCCACTTCTGGTGCAGAGCCCCGAGAACCTGGAGTGCAAGAACTTTCAGGAATATCTGCGCACCCGCCAGACACCTGAATCATTGGAGAAGCTCTACAGTTATCCACCCATTTGCCTAGCTGTCTTCCGCGAGTTGCCTGAAATTGCAAGACAATTTGTGATTCGTATACTATTCGTTGACCAACCCGTACCACAGGCCGTTGTCAGCTCATGGGGCGCCCAACGTGTGGCCAAGTAAGTAAAGAACACAATTGTTGCTCAGAACCAATTCAGAATTTACTCTCCTTTGTTCCCAGGGAACAACTGGAGGCAACCAACTGCTTGTCTGCCTTATCTGTTTGGCGTGTGACAGCCATACCAGGTGGACTAGCTGCCTGGGAGCTATCCCCCACATTTAAGAAGAGCGTGCGCCAAGTGTTGTTAGGTGGAGGAAAGCCCTGGGCAATTACCAATTCGCTCGAGAGGGACTCCAAGCCACGGGATGTTGCATTCCTTGACGCRTATGCCATGTCTCGGTGGCGTTGTGTGCTGCATTACATGGTGGGTACGGGAAATCGAAGTAACACCGAAACTGAGGCCATCAGTCCAGATGCCGTACGCATTCTACTCCATGCAAATCTTATGAAGCGCGATGAGCGGGAGGGCATTACCATCACACGTCAAGGATTTCAGTTCTTGCTKCTGGACACACGAGCCCAGGTCTGGCATTTCATGCTGCAGTATTTAGATACGTGCCAGGAACGTGGCCTGGTCTTGGCCGAGTGTCTGTCAATGCTCTTTCAATTGAGCTTCTCTACGCTGGGGCGCGACTACAGCTCTGARGGCATGAACAAGCAGATGCTGATGTTTCTCCAGCACCTGCGGGAGTTCGGYCTGGTATTTCAAAGGAAACGCAAAGAGCATCGCTTTTATCCCACGCGAYTAGCGTTAAATGTAACTAACAAGGAAGCAGCAGAAGCATCCATTTCGGTGGATGAAGAGCGCATGCAGGAGCGAGGCTACATTGTGGTGGAGACCAACTATCGCGTATATGCCTACACAGACTCCCAGTTGCAGGTCGCTGTGCTGGGCCTTTTCACCGAGYTGCTCTATCGATTTCCCAATCTCGTAGTGGGCGTGCTCACCCGAGACTCTGTGCGTCAAGCTCTGCGAGGCGGCATTACGGCCGAGCAAATAGTCAGCTATTTGGAGCAGTATGCACATCCCAACATGAAATTGGTTGARTCTGCAATTCAATCAAAATCCTGCCTGCCACCCACCGTCGTGGACCAAATCAAACTGTGGGAGATGGAACGCAATCGTTTCACTTACACCGAGGGAGTTGTCTACAATCAGTTCCTCTCTCAGAATGACTTCGTAACGCTGCGCGACTACGCCCAATCCCAGAATGTGTTGGTCTGGCAAAACGAGCGCACCCGSACCATGGTCGTGCAAAAGAATGGCCACGACGATGTCAAGCGCTATTGGAAGAAGTACTCAAAGAGCGCCGGCTAGCACCAAACTATTATACTTCGTATTTAAGCAAATCATTTAATTTTACAAATAAGCTAAGTGCGCGTCTGCAAGCATAGTTGCCCTTTGTAACAAGCACAAATCCAAATTGTTATCCAGGACAGCTGCGGGCACATTCAATAATAAAATGGAATACCTCTATCAAAATCTATATATACACATATAAACATATACATAATTAAGCTACAGGTTTGACTGGGTAAGCTTGAATTTAGCTGGGAATTTAATTCAACATCGACTAATCCAGTTTATACAAATTATATATATGTTTACGAGCATATATATATATAATAATAATAAATTACACTAAAATCATTCAACATTACGAAACATTAAAGCTTGGGAAATATTCATTTTTTAAATGCAAAATTGGAACGTTTAATATAAAATCGGACGCTGCGGCATACAGAGATTATAGTAGCTCTTCTTATCCCAAAAGTCCAAGCCCTTCCACCCACACCAGCCCTTAATCTGTATGGTGGCCAGATCATCGGGCCCAGTATAATGGGGATCGAGTATCAAGAACTTTGCCTGGCCCGTCTGCACACAGTAATCCACGCCGATTATTGTGTGTGCGAGCACTCCGCCCCCGATCATAACAGGTGTGCCCTGCGTTTGGAAATGCATGGCCAGCTCTGAGGCAATTGTCGAGAGCTCGGCACCAGATGCCACATGCAATATCTTCGAGTCCACATTGAGGAATCCCTGCAAACACATGCTCAGCTCTGTGGAACCAATCCACTGKGACGAGCCAACAAAAGAGGCCGGCTTGTCGTTAATTTTGTGCAAATATTCCTGGATCTCCAGGTGAGTGGGTATCGGACGTTCAGTGTAGCCCTGCAGCAGGAACCAGGAGCAAATCGTTTGCAGCGAACGGTAGGCACAGCCCCARCCCTTGTCCTGCACCTGCTGTTGCAAATAGTGATAGTAATGATAGTTCCCATTTACCAGGTATTCTTTGCCATCGGTCACGCCACTGGGCCGTACTCCCAGGTGCGTATTAAGCAACGGTGTCCAGGTCGCCGAATCAACAGCATCTATTTCATCTTGGAAGCGACACTGGTTAGCCCGTCTGAAGTAGGGTCGCGTGGCAGGCAATGCGAATTGCCGATGGAGTCGTTTGCGCTTCTCCTGCACACTAGGCTCATCATCGCCCAGTTGCTCCAGATAGGCACAGCTCAAAAAATGCCCAAATTCCTGTGGATAAAAATGATAAGTGCGTGGCGTCAGCAGCTTAACCTCCGACGTTGTCTCCTGCTCAGTAAGTCGTTCAATAAGGCATTGCTCAAAGAGGCGCAACGACCGGCATATGCTCTCTATAAGCACATCGTACAAACGCAGCAGCTTTGTCTTCTTGCAGAGTATGGCCATTGCTTCCAGTTCCAAGGGCACCTCTTGCTTAACGGAATCCTCATTCGTGATGCACACACTCAATGCTGGATATGGCAGGGAATCCCCAGCTCCAAAATCGCGTGTGCGTGAGCGTAATACATCAATATTGATCACATCGTAAGCACAGCCAACAGCGCCATAATACTTGGCCAAATCGGGTGCGGCAGCTTTCTTTTTCTTGTCGCCGCTAGCAGCTTCTGTCGGAGTGGGAATCTCAGCGATTAACGATTCAATGAGTGAATCGCAGTTGAAGCTCTGATGCTGTATGCCACTGTTGCTGCTCACATAGATTTTAGTTTGTGCCACGTTGAAGACCAGATTGCCATCGGCCACACGCTTCCGGAGCGCRTGCATCTCCTTGGCTATAGCCTCCGGCGTGGGCAGTGTGTGCAAGAAGAAACCACACTTTAATCGTGTGAAACAGAAGTCGTTGTACAGCTGCGCGGCTTCCACGACTTCAAACGGCACATTCTCCAGTTTGCCATGTATAAAAAAGGATGCACGCAATCCCACAAGTGTGCCCAGTTGACATTGAAGCAGGATCGGGTTGTCCGTTATGTCCACCGATGAGATGATCTCGTTAAGGTGAGCTTCTGTATCAGTGCAGTCCCCAAATTTGACTAAACCACATAAATCCAGTTCGGCTGGGAATTTGTGCTGTATTTGTTCATAGTTCAGTTGACCCACACTTGACTCAACGTTAAAGCTCAATAGCAGCAAAGTGCTCTCTCCATAAAATACGCCGTATAAACAACCACTGCATTGCAGCTTAACGCGCTCCAGTCGCTTCAAAATACATTAAAAAATCACACAGAGATCATAAGCATACATATAAATAGCTTACCTTGAGAAGAAAAGCAGATATTCTCAATTTGGGAAGCATTTTTCAGAAAACTAGGCGTGAATTTTTAGTATTTACGTACAAACTGCACAGCTGGCAAGTATGTCATCGATAGACGTAGATATGTTATCGACTGTGAACTGCATGTAGACCATTTAATCGACAGTAGTGTGACCGTACTGCAGTAACCGCACTCAACATCGACATTCAAATATTTGTTTTGAAGCATTTGAATACACACACATATAACATTTATTTAATACAATATATATATATTGATATCGGCAAAGATTATAGATTTGCAAAAAAGGCTTGAATAATTTTAACCAAGCAAGCGGTTTTTTTTGTTATTTACGCATTTTATCATTACTTTTTAGTACGCCGTTACCAGCTCGAGCCGTTTTCTTGGGCTTTTCCTTTTTCCTTACAAGACTTTAATTCTATCAATGTTATACATTTATATACAAATACAATATTGATAATTGCATGCTGCCGCCATTACATTCCTAATACATTCGCCTTTTAATTGGAATATTTTGCAAGTTTTTTGTTTACTAATTTACAATTTGTATTAAGAATTTTGTAAGTTACGAGATACTACACACTACTATATTCTTCACAATTTTCTATTATTTTTTCTTTCTTGTTTTTCTTATTTAAATATGTTTCTGCACAAAATCGGCATTCGAGCTTGCCAACACAATACACAATCCCATGAATACATTTATCAATTCAATTTGTCGCTAGTTATTGCTCACTGCTCTTACGTTTCGTTCCTTTAGTTTTGTTAATATTTTAGGTTGAACATTTAGATAAGCTAAATATTAAAGTTAAAACAAAAACATCCAGTTCTGTGGCGCTACTTCTTTTGCTTGGCAGCCAAAGTTGCATCCGTTGTTGTTGGCGAAGCTACAGATCCCTTGCC